AATTTAGTCCTTTGAAAAATCTTTTTAGCTAGTACAGGTGAACTCAGTTAACCCTAATCTTTCCTTTCTCAGTACTAACATGTTTCAGTAGGAACATGTTATAACCTCACTTTGTTATCAAATGAACTGACCCTGGCAATAAGTGGAGTGAGATGCCACCGCCAGGTTGCCCTCACTTCATTGTTAACTAGCTCTTCTTCTTTTCCAGTCCCACGCCTTTGACACCTCAGCCTTCAGTCACTTTGCTGTAAGGGCAGCTTGAACAAGCTTCAGCCCTTTCTCAGACTCCCAGGGCAGGACTTGAATGGATTTGACCCTGGAATTGTTCCTGATACAGCCTGGTTCAGTTCTTGCTGCTGCCATGCTGGATTCCAAAGATCCACTCTTTCCTCGGCTGGTCTCGCAGGGTCAGGCCGCTTGGTTAAAGCTTGTTGTGTATTTTTGGGGAGGTTCAAAATGAAGGAGGGACTCTACTTTGGGCATTGGACCTGGAGGCAAAAAATAAGCGTTCAGTCTAAAAGTACTAAGTGCCCATTGTTTGGACAGCTGTTAATCAGCCACGTTTCTATGAAAATAAGTCCTTTTCATGAGGCAGTTGTGTGGGAATAGCTAATTCTGGCCTGATGCTGTGCAATGTGAGGTTAAAAACATGGTAACTTGTCACAACACAATTCTTCTTGTTCTTTTTGCTGTGGGCTGACTCTACATTACTTGCTTTGTTTGCTCTAGAATGGAATCTACTCACCATTTACTAAAATGAAATGCATTTCTTGGGGGGAGGCAAAATCCAGTTCACTAGGTCTTGCATCTTAAAGAGAAAGGAACCCTTCTCCCTCTATGACCAATGTTAGGAATGTCAGCTTACTTAAATSCAAATTTAAGTTCTGGGTTTGGATTTTTATATGTAGGAGCTATTTTGTGACTTAATTTAAAGAAATTTGTTTTTATTGTTCATGCTTTATTTTGAGTAGTACAGATTAATTTTTAAAGTATTTATCAATAAGACAAAGTAAACTTTAGAAAGCTTAACATAGTACAAAGTGCACAAACTTTAGAATGTGACAAATGAGGGTCACATCCTGACCTTGGGCAAGTTATTTAGCCTCCAAACCTTAATTTCTTCTGAAAAACGAAACTCACCTGACTAGTTGTTTATAATTTCCATATAAATCATCATTTACATTTTTACTGGAAGCCAGTACTGCACTTGCCTCCACGAGAGAACTTTTCAGAAAAAATTTTTCACAAGCTCTAAATCTTACTTAATTTGTGACTTAACAAGCTTTATACTGCTGATACAATATCTGCTTCCATGCCTAGGTGCCTTTGGGTTTTCCTCAAGGATTTTTATATTCTTAGCCACTATCTAGATCTTCTTAGATATACCTTAGGTCAGTGTCTGCTTTGGAATATACTATTCCATTTCTTCACAGTGATTTCACTCAACTTCTGAAATCCAGTTTTGGGAGGCCTTTCAAATRTCTTGACTGCTTGTAGTTTTTATAATACTTTTCTAAGTTAGATTTATAGGAACTTGTATAGCATATAGAAAGATTTCGGGTGTTGCTTTAAGTCTTTCAATTGTAGGGGGTGTCCTTCAGGACTTTTAATAACCCATGGCTTTTTTTTATAGCATTGTGACAATTGATATAATCAGATTACTCAACAAATTTATATCTATTGCATTTCAAATCTATCAGCATTTGTAAGTTACACCCTTTTTTTTCTTTTCCTCCTTTCTTCTAGCAGCCTTTTTGTGTTAGTAGGACTTACCAGGACAGTGATGGAGAAGAATGGAAAGGGAGATTTGCCTGAATAAAAAGAGTGTGGCTTTGCCAATTTGTAATTTAAAATACATAAGCAAATAAATCACAAATCTTTCCAATACCTGTGTCCATAGATTCAAGCTGTAATCTCTATATAATCATTACTGTTAAAAACATTGGTTATTGTCGCCACTCCAGGCAACCCTGAACTTTAGTCCTTTTTTGCATGTAAAGACGATGGGAAGATTCATCCTTATAACAAAATGTTCAGATATTTAATTATTTTGCATTAGTCATTTCAGCAAAGAATTATCTTTGTCACTGAAGTTGGGCAGTAGAATAATTTTGAGTATCTTTGATAGAGGTTACTAGTTTGTTGCTCTTTTAAAGTACTTGTTTGTCATGTCTGATTTGTACCTAGTTATTGGATGGATGACAAAAGGGAGGAGTAAATACCCACATAGATGTACATGATGGGCAAAGGGAACACCAAAAGATGAGTACTCCTTATAGCCTGGTACTGGCAACCTATACCTTACATGTCCCTGTCATCCAAGTTCTAAGTCTCTTGCTGTCATTCAACTCTGTCCCATCTTAAACACCAGTATGCTATGCTTTTAACTCTTTTGCTTTTCCTCTGCTCGTCCTTCCAGGGACAAATGCATGAGCCACTTTTCAGGAGACTAAATCATTAAAACTCTTAAGGGATGTGGCCCATTTCACAGTCAGTTGACCATTGAAATTACCCATAATTGTTTTTTCTGGAATTTTGCAAAAGAGCAAGCTGTTGTGATAACCCTGGAAAATAAATGAACCTAAAAATTCAGTTATTGACTGGGGGTGTAGCTCAGTAGAAGAGTGTGCAAGAGGGCTGGGGATGTGGCTCAAGCGGTAGCGCGCTCGCCTGGCATGCGACCCGGGTTCGATCCTCAGCACCACATAC